TAAGTGGTGCTCACAGACATTCGTTTTTCAAAGTAGATCTAATCACAATAGCATACAGATCTCTTCAGCCTGATGACTCACTAAAGTACACTATGACACTATAGTGGCATACCTGCCAAGGAGGAAAACGTAAACTAACCACCACTTTGTGGAGCTTCTCAGTGCTACCAAGTCTTATAATTGCAATCAATCTGATTAAAAATCCTTTGATAACTTGCTCAAGCCTTCATTTTCCAACATTTTAACAAGCTTTTGACATGCACATTAAAATCTGAGAAATATTTAGCTTGAGTCGTCAGAGTACATAAAAAAAACAAGAATTTCTGAAATTCTGCTTCAATAAATCCATATTTTTTTAAAATAAATTCAGACGTATATTTAAATAGGGAATGTTAACATATGGCATCATAAATCACACATTTTACTTGATTTTTACTACTTTACAACACACACTGTAAACCTTTGATGAGTAGCTCGACTTCAAGCCATTTAAATTTGTTAACCTAAGTTATTTAAGTTAATTAATTTAAAAATGAAATTATTTGACATATATTTTATCATTTTGCCAAAAATCATTATATGTGCTGTTCTAAACTGTAGATAAGATTATCTTAAAGAAGGCTAGCATAACATTATTAGATTATTGATTTATTAGAGCACAAAATCCAATTTTTTTCCCGCATTTAATTTAACAAATCAGTCAGAATTGAAAATATGCTTCACTTAATCAAAACCTAAAATATGGTTAAGAAACAAATACTTATTTAAAACAATCAAGTCAGAGCAAAATATTATGTTTTCAAACCCACTTAATTTATGGAGTTAAATAGCTTAAGTGCTTTATCAAAAAGTGTTTATTTATTCATTCTCTAAGATTTGCTGTTTACAAAGAAGCAACTTTTAAAAGGTTGGAAACTGTAAAGTGACCAATTTCAGCAAATGAACGAAAACCCATGAAAACTTTGAAAAGCGAATTGCAGAGAGGAGCAGGGAGGCAGGATAACGGAGAGCCAAACAAGTGTTGCTGCTGCCAAGGATTTGGTGGGAATTCATCTGAAGTAACTCCCAGAAGCTTGGATCTGCTTCTCAATTTGTTTCTGCTGGCAACATTGAGCTGGACCAGCTGAACTCTGGCGGAGACGCCGGATGTGCGGACACCAATGTCAGAGCAGTGACACTCCAACTCACAGTGCAAAACTTTCTATGTGTATCTATTAAAGCGGATAACATTTTGCATTCACACGTTGGAATCCAGATTTAAAGCAGATTTAAAGATGTGGAAGTTACTATAACATCTGATAGTGCTAAGTGCTCTAAATCGAATCTAAAACACGTTTCTACTTTATCACATCATTTTGAGTCTTAAACTGTCGACTTTTTGTTGAAACAGTTGAATTCAAGTGAACTTCATGCCTCACAAAGAATATTACTCTCCTTTATACAGATAAATGGAGTTGCATGATTTGTTGCGTCTAAAAGAGTGAACTTTGAGAGACAGACCTGTCAAAAGCCGTCCTCCAGCCACACACTTAGATGAGCCATTAGCATTTTGCTGTTACAGCAACAGAAGCAGAAGAGTAAACAATTGTAAATCAGATTGTTGTCCAGCACAATAAGCTAAGGTCATGCCCGCTGCAGCTAACATGCAAAAGATGGTTAGTAGAACCTAATGTCAGTTTTGTCTTGAGTGGTACGCTAGCTGTCAGCTAAACGTGAGATTTAACATTATTCTTTTGTTAAAAATATAGTTATTTTGTCAAATTTTCATAATTTTCCATGACAACCTTCATATAATTCTTGTGACTTTTTTGACAATATTTTCTTCATGGTCAACCAGGTAATTTGAGCAACCCCTTTATCTTTGAAGTGTTATTTTTGATCATTGTATGAGAATATCCTGGTTAAATGTCAATTACTTTTTTGGAAATAAATAAATTAGTACTGCTCTAACTTCTTTAATCAGGTAAGACTGTTCTGTTCAGTAAAGTAGCATTTTGTATTTTTAACTGAATCATAAGAATGAAAACCAAATATCTACTTGATTCTCCTTGTTAATTATTGAACCACAATCTTGTCCAAAACTATGGAAATCTCCCCCACCCCCAAAATAAGTAAATAAATAAATAATCTGTTTGACCAGAAAGCCCATGCTTTCTGGTCAAAAAGATGCTCCATATTTGAAGACAGGCAAAGCTTGACATTTTGTACTGAGGCTTTTCTAACATCCTGAAGCCTCAAGCTGTGCTACAGAATTAAGATTTTTATTCTATTTGAACGCTGGATTAACATTCACTATTCAAAACAGCCCAAAGCAAAGCAGTTTTTTTCTCTCTCTCTCTCTCCAACATAATAATAGTGCTAGTTCCAACAACACTTTTATTTGCGCCGCTGCTCATCAGATCATGTTCTCTTCACTCACTGGTTGTTCAAAATGTATTGAGTGAAGCAGTTTGATCCTCTAGCCACCACAAGGGGGTGCTGCAGCTCCAGCTCCTGGGCTCCCCCAGTGCTTGCGGCCCCTCTTCTTAGGAGCAGAGTAACACGGTAATGATGATGAGGGTGCTGTCAGCTGTGCTGATGAAACAGATGTCAGAATAGAAAACACTGCTGCTGATGTGTGTGGGCAGATCTGAGCGGCCTGCTATTCCCGGGATGAGGCCGACAGTGTTGCAACTATCTTCATAAAGATAAATTTTCACATTTTAGCTCCACTCCACTGACTGCCTCAGACGCTGTTGTTTCACTGAAGATCATTTATTCTGAGAGAAATGTGTTGATAGTCTCAGGAATGTGAAACAGCACTGTCAGTGCCACACTTGCTCATTCGCGCTGCAGGCCGACTGATAACGTTGACAGTTTGAATGAAGCCAAAATCAATTCAAGGTAAATTAATTAATTCTACAAAATTACACCAATAAATCTTTCTTCTGCCTCCGTTTGAAACGTTTAGGTAAAAAAAAAAATTTGGGAATAAGTTTAGGTTGTTTTTGAATAGTGAGACTCACTTTAATTCTTCTAATGTTCAGCATGTTTTATATTAGCTGAAATTTGTTTGCCCTGAAATGCTAATCTGCACTATTGTCCTATGTGTATGATTATTAGCAGTTGATAATGATGGATTTTGAAGCTGATAAGAGACTTAATACCTCCTGGGCCGAATATAATATTCGTGCGAGGGCGTACTGTCTCTTCGTCGTTGATTACATCCTCAGAGCCACCCATACAGAGGGAGCCTCTTTCTTCGACTGCTCTCCAGTCTCAGAGAACTGTTCTCAACTGATAAGGCTGTAATGAGGAAGAGAGGATGTGGATAATCAGCCTACATTTTCAGCTCTGGTATTACAGGTAATTTCCCCGTAAAAACCCTCAGAGGAAGCTTTGCTTGAGCTGAAGAGGCAAATTAAAGAGCTTTACTGATAAACGCTAAAAGGTTCAGGGCTTTGGCTGTGTTTGTGGAAATCTGCAAACGATTTCGCCTCCTGCATATAAGAATGAACCAGAAGGCATTGTGCGGAGATTATAATGTAGTGATTATTATACAGGCTTTAAGGCTTCTTTTTTTTTCTGAATGAGATAAAACACCAATACTTCAAGAATAACGACATTTCCCTCTTTTTTCATCTTTATGTCTTCTCTCCAGGTTTTTCAAGCCAGAAGTATTAGGAGGTCATATCAACATCTGTAAAGAAAGAAATTAAAGTTAAGCCTTTATGACTTCCATAAAGCCTTTGACCTCTGTTTGTATTTGTTTTTTTATTATCACACTTTTCTTACCATTTCTGAAAGCCTTTATTTGACAAAGACTTAGCAAGGTCACAGACTACCTCTAAAAGGCTTAAAATATTCCTTGTTTGTTAAGGAGGCCAAACTTCCTTTGAATTTCTGAATGTCTGGTTATTTTTCTCCAGATTTTTTGCAGGCGTATCAAAATGTTTCTTTGGAGTTTCTTTGTTTCTTTGTTCACATACAATTTATTTTCCTATTGAAAGAAAGACTTAACTCTGATCTATCAATCTGAAGGAACGAATCAGTATTTTGGTGAAGTTAATTTGTTTTCCCCAAAGACCTTGTAATCGAGCACAATCAAATGAAAAATTAGATGAACTTTTTGTTGAATATTTTGTCCAACTTTCTTATCAAAAACTTGCATAACTGAAAAAAAAATAAAGAATTTATAGATCTTCCCGAAACCTGGAGAATTTCTGATCAAAACCACTTAAAAAGATTAGGAAATAATGCAATCAGCAAATAATTCTAAAAAAATATTACTATTGCATAATCTATATCTTGACTTTACTAGATATCAAATCTATCAGCAAAATAGTTGTTGTTAAAGCCTTTGTTTAAAAATAATTTTTCAAACATAGCCAGTAGGGGAACCAGAGCATCTCTCTCCATCTAACTCATTTAGAGGAAACATCGGCGCTTCAGCAGATTCTTGGTCTGCCCTCAGGTTTCCCCTTCGGGATGTGCATGGAGAACCTCCAGAAGGAAAGGCCATCCTAATCAGACGCCCAAACCACTGCACCTTACTCCTTCTGACATGGAGGAGTAATGGCTGTAGTCTGAGCTCCTCCCTGATGACAGAGCTCCTCAGCCCAACTCTAAAATAGGCCAAACCAATCAACTGTGATCGTATTCTTATGGTCATGATCTATACCTCGTGACGAGAAGTGAAGGAGGAGCAGAACATGAAAAGAAAAGCCCATTAAAGCCAAATCTTCGCTTTGAGCATCAGTACAACAGACAAGAGGAACTCCCATATTACCGTACAAGGTCCTGTGTGTTCATGTATTAATCAGATTAATACAGTATACCATACTAAGCTTGTCAACAAAAATACTGATAGTGTTGTATATTTTACAATAATTGCTTCTTAGGACCAAACCCAGTCCACTTTGTTGCTTTCCAAATATTGAAAATAAGTCTTTCTTGTCGCAATATAAAGGGAAAAGAATGAGGGAAGAAACATTAGACCAGAGGTCAGCAGCAGGACGACGATGCTGACCTCTCAGGTGAGGAGGGATTACAACATGATGAAGAAAAGACAATAAAAGGGAAGATAATGTGCAACAATTTACACTGTTTTATAAGGCCATGCCATAACAAGAATAAAGTTGTGCAACTTTGAGGTAACATTTCAAAAAAATATGCCACAAAATTAGTAATTGCAACATTCTGGAGGGACTGTAATCCAACAACAAGACATCAGGACACTTGAACTCCTGAGTCTGAGTCAGAGCAGGTCAGATTTCCTGGTTGAGAACTATTGTCTCAAAGGTAGCAGGTCTGACTCCCATCTCTGATTCTGTTTGAGGTGTTCATAGACGGGATCTCAGAGTGTGGCTGTAGGAAGGAGAGTGTTTGGTCTGGAAGCCTCAGGGCCAAATCTTTGCCTTTTGTGGATGATGTGGTTCTGTTGGCATTTTCAGGCCATGACCTTCAGCATTCACTGGAGCGTTTCGCTGCTGAGTGTGAATCGGCCGGGATGAGAGGCAGCTCAGCCCCCCGCCCTCATTTTTTTATTTTACCTCAAGTTCTTCCTTTCAACAAAATTAGAGGCTTTAGATTAGTCTAGTGTTCCAGCAGTGACGGGAGATGCAGACAGAAAGTGGGAAAGTAGCTACAAAAATGCTAGCGGACATTCTGACCTTTCTTCTTAATAATAAATACAATAAAAGCTACATTTAATCAGAAAGTTAACACATTCAATCTGACTGTGGGACTCAAACAGCTTAATCTCTTTTTATTGTGTCTCATAGTCTCACAGAGGATTATGAAATCTCTGAAACAAAGGTCATCTTACCGCCTGTGCACCTAGATGTGGTGTGTATGTGTTCACCCAGCATATCTGTCAAAATAATACATTTAAGTGGAAGGTTTCATGCATAGCTGCAGAACATTTTATTTTAGTGCCTCCAGAGATCCAGGAAATTCACATTTCATGTCCTTTGCTTCCGTAAAAGCATGAGATGAAGCTCCGGTTACTTATAATCATTTAAGCAATTATAATTCCCAAACCTAAAAAAAAAACACAACTAATTTACAAAGAGTAATAACCAAGGTGAACACCAAATGAAAATTATCTCCTGAAAACAAAATGAATTTGCGAAGCACTGACAAAGATGGGAGATGAGTCTGGAGGGGTGTTACAGTCTAAGAGGTGAATTTGATTTCACATCTTTTACGCCTCTGGAAACTAAGCAGTCACTTATTTTTATGTCTGGAACATGAAATAATTAAAACGATTTTATAAATTGTTGTTTTAGATTAGATTTTACGTGCTCCTTGAGATTTATTTTCTTCACAAGCCAAACTGTCTGTATGCAGAACATTAAATGGTTTGAGGTGAAATAAGTTTGTTTTCGACACTTAAATCATTTGTCTCTCCTTATGTTATATGTGCAGAAAGCAGGTGCCAGTATATAATGGTAAAGGAGAGACAGACACTCAAAACCAACTCTTTTCATATCTGATACAAGCCATAGTATTTTTTTTTTTTTTTTTTTTTTTTTTGTCAGTGCCAAAACATACTCTGCAAGAACAGAGAAACTTGTATTTTTATTTGAGGTGTCAAGAACAAGAACAGACCTTTTTGGCCAGGACATTTTATGCTTCTCATGAACTCAAGTGCAGAACTCTTGGGAAGTCCTTACATGTTATTCCCGCTGCAGAATTTGTAAATGGCCAGAACAGAACAAGAGAGTTTAGTTCTTGCAGCCCTGGGAGAAGGAGCTGTTCTTGCAGGACGAGTACAGGCCTTTGATCTCATGTTTCTGTTCTGCATTTATAATATTTGTTCCTCATAAAGAATTTCTGTTTTACAAACTTGTTTCTTCCTTTTTCCAAGTAAACACTGAATGATACATACATTTTGTTGAGTCCTGTTTGACAATGCTCTATTAGCTTGGACGAGACATTAGCTTCCTCTGGCAATCCATTTTTCAAACCAAATAAAAACCTCTCATTGCTTTATTATATGCTTAAAAGATTATAAGGGCTGCACACGGGTTTGATAATAAGGCAGGCAGTTAATGTCAAACTGTCTGCCATTGACACTAAAACTGATTAATTAGGTTACATTAACATACTGTCATGATGAGAGTATAAGTTTCAATATCATGGCGGAATTAAAAACAATTTGGACACACTTTTATTTTTGACATAAAATCCAGTGAGTGTAGAGCTAAATTAATTGAAACTAATCAAATTACAGATTGTGTCCAACATGAAGTGCCAGGGCAATCAAAAGAGAAAAAAAATGAAGTACTGAAGACTGATAGAAAAAAAAATCTACCTTAGTTGAATAACTTGTCTTTCCAGTTTTGACATGAGACCTTAAATCAAATCATATTTATATTTATACCACAGGGGAACAGGAAGCCATATATCAATAATGAAAAGTTCATACACACTTTATAGGAGCAGTAAAAAACAGTAAAATAACAAAAAGTTACATTTATTTTGTAGGAATTGTTATAGGGATCATATGTCTTTGCAATAGGTACGAAATGAAAAGATTACTTATTTTAAACATGGTGGTTTATTCAGATTTATAAACACATTAAAGGTTGGGTTATTCTACATTGTTTCAGTGTGAAATTTTCTTGAAGGTATTCTTATCAAATTATTCTAGTACTTACTTGCTTTTTTAATCAGATTTTGAAACAGATTTTTTTCCGTAGTTAATTTTGAATTTTGAAACCATTTTGTATTGAGAAATATCATGTGTCTTAAGACAGCGGCTCACAATAAATGAATAATACCAATGAAATAATCAATTAGATTATTCCTGTCTCCAGAAATGATTGATTGAGAGGCAGTGTACATCCTGGACAGACTGCCAGTCCATCGCAGGGCTACACAGAGACGATCAAAACAAATAACCATGCAGTCAGACCAGATAACATAACATGAATGCTTCTGGACCAGGGGAAACCGGAGGAGCCGGAGAAAACCTGCTCTTGCAGGGGGAGAACAAAATCCATGCAGAAAGACCCCTGGTTACAAAAAAGCAAGCATAAATACTCATATATTTTATTTTTTTACATAAATCACTTCAAAACATGTTACTCTCTAGTGCAGGATGTTCACTATTCTTATGCAAAGTCACAATTTTGGCATTTATTCTATGCCATGGCGAGGACAAAAACACTGGTCAATATATCAAATTGTTGCATAATGATGCAACAGAGTTCTGTTTGTTTTTTTTTTTCTTTCTATTAGTACAACCTTGTTGATGAGTTAACTCTGTTTCTTTAATGTCACTTATATCCTGCAATCTCGTTTTGCTTATTTAAGAGCTATCTTGTGTTTGACATTTTCTTGAATAAAATGGGCTTATTCGATAAATCCATTAATACAGATATGAAATAAACCAAACATTATCCGGTTCGGCTGGATGCTTGGATGTCCATCAGCTTTTACAAATATTTTCAAGTGTGGGAAAATATTTAAGACTATATTTTTATTAAAATCCATGTATGATGGTTCTTTTTGGGGTTTTTTTCTTTGTGTGCTGACTACTTTTGTCATCAGAAAATGTGTAGTCCCCCTTTCATAGCTATGATCTGATAATAGATGGAATTTGCTTCATGGTGTGTTCAGAAGCTGACAGCTACTAGGGGGTCAAAACTCGCTGCCAGGTGAGAGTAGAGTAGCATCACAGAGAGCCGTGGCCAAATATAGCTACGCTACCTTTGAGTCAATGCATTTCTTTTCTTTTTTTTTTTAACAAACAGGGACTTGGGGAAACTTTAGCTGAGATTCACAGCCAGAAAGTTCAGGACATCCTGGCGTTTTATCTAAGTGAGCTGCAGGCGAGCAATGAAGTCACCAGCATCGACTTTGAAACGAGAAACTTCTGGATATGTGCAGCCATTCACACTGGCACATCAAATAAACATTGATACAGCAGGTCAGATTAGTTTGCATCTGTTTACTTTCTGTTTTAGGCCATTTAGTGGGCACACAAATAAAGTGGTGATGTTTCTGTAGTTTTTCTTTACAGGTTTGACATATAAGCCTCTAAGAGACTCATTTCGCTGGGACACAGGAGAGCTCCTTCGATTCAGCAGCTTTGCCTTTGGGCAACCTGACAGCCAAGGGTATGAAGCACATTTCACAGCAGACTTAAGCTGCTGTGGCGGGCATCATAAACACAGACAGCTAAGGGCGTCGGGACTTAGATAAACAAATGAAACACATCAGCAGGTGAAAAAATGTGTTTCTGCACGGACGAGGGTTTTTTTCAGTGATATTTCCTGATATTTTTACTGGTAAGTGGTTCACATTTATGCGCTTTGTTCTTGTAGCATAGTTGAATAATAATGCTACTTGTTAATTAAGAGATAATTATTTTTAAATGAGCAGATATTTGGAGTTCAACATTAAAACGGCTCTTTCTTTTCTTGGAAGTAACACTGCAGGTGAGGCCTGTTTGCTATTACTCACAGCTTCTCATTTCCTGTGCAGTTTCGGAAACTGTGTTGAACTGCAGGCACTGAGCACTTTCAACTGGAATGATCAGCATTGCAAAACCAGCATGGAAAGGCCCCTGCAGGCAGACACTCAACAGAAGTACGGAAGGAGGTAAAGGTTCTCTAAATGCCCACTAGTGATACACAGTTAGACCCTCTAGTCTTAAAATACACCTGCTGACCACAGGATCTGTATTTGTATGTCATGTCAACAGTGAGAAGCTTTTTCTGCTGAAATTACAGCTCATTTTGTGAATTGACAAAAACAATGTCTCTATATCTGTTGAAGAATAGACATTAAGTAATGAGTTTTTGCTCTGAAAGTTTATAAAAGTCATTTCTGTTTAACCACAGGAGCATATTCATGGTGGTCTTCAACAGAAGAGAAATATGTCCTCTGATATTTCTCAGTATTGTTCTGCATTTGTAGCACCAGCTGCACTAAGACCAAAACCCAGCAGGATGTGAAACTGAGCCGTTTGCAGAAAGGGTAACATTCAGTACTGATTGGACATTTTATGCACTTATTAAAAATTATGAAAAGATTACTTTGATATTCAAGTTTATAGTCAAATCTACAACCCCCAAGCTACAAATCATAAATTACTATTACTACCCGGAATGTGTCAAAATGCCAGTGGAAGCTTAAAAACATGTTTTACTTTAGTTGGTTGGCTCTTTTTCTTTCAAGTGTAACACAGACTGCCCTTTTAAATTTCAGCTGTCGTTCGCTTGGGCTGCTGTGTTCCTCCGTGTCCGTGCAATTAGCAGTACCTTGTGTCACTGGTAATCACTGGGGGTTAAGAGTAAAATGTTAATCTTCTGTGTCCAAAAACAACTCAATTCTCAGTGTGATAGTGACTACAAGTTTAAACCTGCTTTTCAGTTCAAATCAATCGCACTCAGTGCTTACCATCAAGAACCCCCCATGCGATCAATATAAGTCGTTTTCACAAAGACTCCCACTGTTTGGACACACATACCACTTACATTGATCGAGAAGAATGAGATGGTGGCAGATGTTTAGAGTTGTCCATTTACGGCTGTCTTTGCTAAGTTCTGGCGTGTCATCTGGTATCGATCCGTTGAAGCCGAATCTGCTCTGAATGCGCTGAGTGTTGCTAAGACACCGGCTTTTACAAACAGCTTTTTGGGGACCCGACTATGTTTCACTTCTTTGTGGTACAGAAATAGCACATTGTGGTCAAAACGTTGCTTGAGGGTTGCATTTTGTCAAGAAAGTTTAGTCTTTTCGTTGAACTTTCTATTAATTATGCTAACTGCAAGAGTTTATTCTTCCCCAGTCAAAGATTTTAGCAGCTATTTTCTCTAACTAAAAAAAAAAGAAACATAATCTAAAGCAATTTAGAAAAGAAAAAAGCTCTACTTTGCTAATTGCTTATGAAATGATAAGTGGATATCGTGCCTGAGGCAAAGTCTGAACATTGTTCCTCCAGAGGAAGGAAGTGAGTGCTCGGCTTCCTTTTTTGCCCCATTATGTGCATGGCAAGAATATAACGCTTCATGTCTCATTAACAGCTTCTTCTCACATCTTTTTACTGGAGTTGAAGAACAACTGAGGAACTGGCACAGACTCAGACACTTCCACACATTTGTCTTCCATGTTTCTGTTCAGTCTCTTTCTCAGCATGGCGTATGTGTTGCATGTTGAATACGTTCATGGGTTGTGTGTGTATTTGTGCATTTTGCAGATGCAAAGCAGATTACACAGTGGGAGGAAGCCAGGTGACCTGTATGCTTTCGGTTGGCTTCACTGCTGCATCAATTACTGTTTTATTGTGAGTGGATGAGTGTGGATAGTGTGTAAATACTGTGCATAATTGAATGTTTTACGAAGAATTTGCTCTTATTTTATAAAGTCCACATTTTGCAACTTGAATTTCTACTTCAATACTAATTGATAAAGGATTATCTTATCGTACCAATTAGAAAAGTCGCTGTTTATTTGCTTTCTGCACTTTCAAAATGGGCATTTTTTCCTAAAACGTCTCATTTACTCTTGCCCCCCTGATGGGTTAGTCTTCCTCCTTTTTGATTGTTCTCTTGCTCCAACAAACTTGTAGCAAATGGTTGAATCACCTGCTCAGTGTGTCATTGAGTTCTGCAAAGACCTATTTATGACCCTTCTATAATTAAAGGTAGAAGCCTGAAGAACATAAAATCTGTAAAAGTGATAACATTCAAGTAAATTATTGAGATTCTCTGCAGGTCAGGTATTACCCAAGTGTGCCTGAAAATTGAACCAAAGATCTGATTAACTGGTAGTTAATTTATGATTCAACATAAAGGTAATTAAATTTTTCGGTTCATGTGAATATATTATTTCTACTAATGAATAAGTGTAATTTTTTTGTCTGTCTGGTTATCGATGTCCGATATTAAAAATTGGATTTAACATATAAGCATTTTCACATAAATGAAGCAAGAACAAGAGGAAATCTGGATAGCTTTTGCATGGCAGTGAGTGAGTCACAAAAATGCTTCAAAGAAATAGCTTGGAGTGACATTAGTAAAGATTGTTTTGATCTGTAAATGAAACCATTTCTTTTCATGAGATATTTTTTCCACTCCAAGAAAAACCACCTGCAACTGGGTTCTGATTTTATTTAAGTGCAATGAAAAAGAACTTTAATTTATGTCTGTAAGCAAAAAGTCCTGCCTCTGTAAGTATCTTTCAAATTATCACGCAACACTCACAATAACAATCTAAGCCTGTATGCATGTACAAACAAACTGAGACAGATGTTCCCTCCGCGCCAGAGAGACACAGAGACACAGATAGCTTTCCTATTAGAGCCAAGTGGAAAGCTGTAATCGAACTACAGCTTTCCACTAAGCTTCTGGTCATGGAGTTCTCAATAAACCATGGTTTCAACATTTTATTTCCAATCTCTTGGAAAACAGGGTCAAAGTTAAAGTTTAAAGGTGAAAATCACGCTGTCTTCTTGATGAACAGAGAAAGAGACTTCAGAATGTCAGATGATGACGCATACAAAGAAATGTGAAAAAGGCTGAAAACAAAGACCATCAGACATATCGGTGAAATGATGCAAATGAAAAACAGCAGCAAGCTCACAGGCAGGCTTGACCCAAGACTGCAAGGGGCCCTAAGCGAAATTTGATTTTGGGGCCCTGTATTTCTGCAAACAATGTGGACTGGCTGCAATCAGCAGTCTGATCATTAGACCATTCACACACCTGCTAAAAACTTATTACGTCTCTGATAGAGCTATTTACATCACATCCTATTCATGTATAATATAGAATACATTTATCGGATTTCTAGGCGGCGAATTCCTTAATTTTGGGGGATCGTGATCAACCGAGACTTACATGTGAAGCCCATCTTTTTTTTTAAAATAAACATTACATTACAAAGACAAACCTTTGTCTTGGCTTTTTTTCTATTCTTCCTCTTTTCTCCCTGCCTGAAGGATAAGTCCTTTTTTGAGACATTGTTTTGCTAACTTATTTTCTACCAGAGCTTTGGACGTCTGGATGCTCTGCACGTTGCACGACAGCTAAAATTACCAGCGAAGCATGCAGTACTTACCGTGGCCACCAGGGGGTCCCAAGAGCATTTTTTTTCTTTTCTTTTCTTTTTGTCCATAAAATATTTCTACATACATGATCAAATATATATTATTGTAAAAACAAATCATAACGAAATTGTGAGTTTTTTGTTATTATAATGACATAGAAATTGTTACTAAAAAAACATTTAAAATCAGCTCCACTGAGGGGCCCCTCAGTGGCAAACGAAGCGGCTGCTTAGTGTGCTCATGCTTTGGACTGGCCATGCTCACAGGTTTAAACTCTCCTAATTACAATTGTGTTCCACTGAGTTTCAGTTTCTCAAATTTCTGTATGTGAAAGTGTGCGATTCAAAAACATACGATTAATGTATAACAACTCATAGTGTATTCTTGCCCCTCATTCTTCCAACACACAAACGGCGATTTGACAAGGACATCTCCAGAGCTGCGGGTATTTGAGTGAGGCAGAATAAGCTTGACCTCACACCGTGTCATTAAATGAGATGTGCTGTGTAATAAACTTTTTCTTTTTTTTTTCTGCTGATGTGTTAGTTCTTGGCTCTCTACAAAGATTGTGAGTGCAGAATGTTTAAGAGTCTGCCTGAGAGTGTACAGTGAATGAGCGAGTATTTGCCTCATATGATTTGCTCGCTCGGTTTCCTGCTGCTCTCATGGTGCCCCCCGATAAGCCGGCGCTGCAGCAGAGGGTTTCAGAATGGCGCTGGTGGCAGTGGAATTAGCTTCCATTGTCATGATAATGACAGTGATACTCTTGGCCCTTCCAACTCAGTCCAGCCATTGTAGGGAAACAGGAATGCAATTTCTCCTTCAGCGGCAGCCGACAATCCTCTGCGAGAGTGAAAGGTCTCTAAATGACTCTCCATTCATGCAAGGCTGAGGGGCCAGCAGCCAATTAAAGTGGGAGCAGGCGAACAGTGCCATCCTGAAGACCTGAAACTCTCTAAGCACACAGACAGAGCAACACACACACACACACACCCCCCACACACACACACAATTTGTTGTATTTGTGCTTCTTCAAACAACATCTAGTGCTGTAAACTAGTTTTTCTTCTTTTTGCAGACCTGATTTTTACAGGGCCGCCGCCAGTGTGCTCTAAATAACTTAACCAGCAGTCATAAAGCTGTAGCAACACAAGTTGCCAATTTAAAAATTCTTTAATATGCGAGTCGGGGGAAATAGGTCCAGGGAAAGCCAAAAATATTTTTCGACCCAATACATCATGGATACACGTTTTGGAGGCATTTAGGGAATTAGTCTCCTCCGGGTATTTATCTGCCGGCTGAAGCAGAGTCTGGACAGCGGGTGAAAGGTCCACAAAGTGTTTGCTCGTTGAGCTGTGAGTAAACTGAACATGTGCTGCCCAGCTATGTGACCCACAAGTTTAAAAAAAGACATTTGGCCAAATTAATTTGCTTTAAAAAGTGTTACTGCCAGCAACAAAAAAATCTCTACAAAGGGCAACGGTGCTCTGTAATGACGTTTACCTCGAGCAGGGTTTATGTGAGGTCTTGGAAGCCTTAAATATAATAATCCT